TGCTGATTATTAGTAATTACTGTTACCAGCCAAATTACAAAATGTTGATTCAATTTCCTGGAGTATTTTTAGGAGCAGGGAACTGCCTTACTGGAGTAGATAAAATGAATGTCTGTACCAGTTTCTCGACTTGCTTTAGTTGGGAAGATGGTGGAAAGGAGAAAAGCTGGGCAGAGGAATGGGAAGATGAAGTTGGTTACGGATGCAGGAGTAGCTGTGCTGCTGTGGGGAGTCAGTCGTGATGTGCTGCGGCTGGAGGAGTGCGTGCTTCTGTCTCAGGCATCACAGTCCCCCAGTGAAACACCTCGTTGCCAGCAAGGTGCGGTTAAGAGGATGCTGAACTGAAATGAGATACCCCAAAATAGCCCAGGGGCATTAATGAGGCTCCTTCTTTCTTTTTGACTGCCTGGGAAGTGTCTCTAGGAGGTTAATGATGTGGCGTGGTGGGCATGGGCTCCAAACACCCGCCCCGGGGTTTTATTACCGGGTATCTCCGTAAGAGAACCTGCCATCCATGGCAGGGTGCGAGGACTGTGCTGTAAGTCCCATCATTGCTGGTTATTTCATCTGGCAGCAGGAACGTGCAACATGTATCACGTATTTCACTTGGTTTTTGGCAAAATTATATTAATAAACCTGCTGTTGCTTAAAAACAATAATCAAGTGGCATTTTTCTCTCCATTGCTCACACTGGCTGCCCTCCTTCCTCCTCCCAACTGAAGCAGGAGGCAAAAGCAAGACGTTGCCAGGTGGTTTTTCACTATTAGTTTTAGCTGCTATTGCAGGAGGTTTCAGCAGTGCTTTATGGGGAGCTGCCTGAAGATTAATGGGGAGGTAATGATATGTTGCTATTAATATCAATGCTACTGGAATTGCACAAATTATGTGTATGATATGTAGACACACATTTAAATATATATACTTGGTTTAGTGGCAGAACAGGGCTTTAGAAAACATTAGATTGATGTTCACCTGGGAAATCCTGTTATATTTGCAGAGTTATCTACACCTTTTCTTACTTCTTCTAACGATACGTATCAATTTTAAAAGGAAAAAGTCATTGCAAATGGAAAATCAAACAAGTTTTAGGGTCATGAATGACCAGATGAAACCCTTTAAAAATGTTACTGTGATACTGGACGAAACTTGCTTTGTCTGACCCACAGTTCCCATCTTCTTCCAGCTCCCTGGGCCAGCACATACACCCCCTCTGCATCTCCTTGGAAGAAAGGAGCACCTCTCAGTCCTTGTGAAAGCAGGGGGAGGTCTGATGTGGCTGTCGACCAAACAAATTTAGTCCTGGCAGGCGATTTTAAAAATTCCTTTTCTATCTTGTACATTTTTCATAGCTGCAGAGGACAATCCTTTGGGGAGAGATCTGCTCACTGGAGCAGGACTTCTCCGATGAGCTGTGCAGGTCCATTCATAAGGAGCCAAGAACATGGCATTAGCATTCTGCTGCTCTGTCATTTGTTATCTCTTTGCTAGGCTTATAGCTATTCTTTTAATTGCTTCCACCCCCCCCGCCCCCCTAAATGAGCTCTTCTCTCTGGTGGCAAACACTAGAAAAGGTTGGAGTGTAGGATGTAGGATAATTAACAGAAGCGGTATCCCTTCTCAGAAGCCCTTCACAGCTTCCCCAGACTGTCACTTTTGCTGGAGTATTGTGACAAATGGAGAACTGAAGATGATGGGGTTCTCCAGCCTGTGCCGTCTTTGGCAGCGTGCCGCCTCCTGCCCTTCGTGGTGGGTACGTAGGGCTGTACTCAGAGGGGCAATGAATGGGGGATGGATGGGAAAACGTGAACCTTCAGATGCTGAACAACATCCTTCCTGGAAACATGGAGCCACCTTCCTTCCTGACCCCTCAGCTGCTCAGATACCACAGGGAGCTGTATTATAAATCAGAGTAATTTGGGGTCGCTTTGGGGTGCAGGGATGTAGTGGGGTATGGTCAGGGCAGCTACCTGCCTGAGTGCTGTGTTCAACCCCAGAGCTAGGGGAGGCACGGCTGCGCAGG